TCTATTAGGCTTTCCCAATGGTCAGAACCAGCTTGGAAGTGCAGATAATTTTTATTGCATTTTTAAATACATTTATACTCAAAACTCATGTTCTTATTTCCATAACGTAGTGATTATTTATTACTTTTCATTTGATTCTAACAGAATAATAAAACATCTGGTAATATACTTACACCTTTGTAATATAACTGGCAGAAATAAAAGTAATTAAGTTTATTTGCTTGTTTAACTTAATGTATTTTACTGATTTACTATAGGATTCTCTAACTGGCAGAATCAGTTTGGAAATACATGTACTTTTAATACATTTCTTTTTACTGTCCCCACCCCCCATCTGTGACTGGCTTAGCAATAAGTCTGAGGGTTTATGAAGCTATAAATTGGGTTTTAATAGTTCAGGTGGACACAGCTTGTTCTTTAGTTTTATGCCTAACTTCTTTTGTCTCCAAAATAAAAAAAAATATATTTCTCCAAAAATTATTGTTATTTATGACGTTTATTCCTATTCTAATAGACTCATAATAAAAACCACTAATATACATATATATATATACTCTTTTTATTAACAAATTGTAAAAGGTGAAAATACCTTGGTGCCTTCTTAAGAAAATCATAGATTCCACTGTTAATTTTATTAGGATTGCCTAATAAACAAAAAAGTTTCGAAATACAAGAACTTTTTAGTATTTCTTTTTTTATATCCAAACTCAAAAAGTTATTTTGTGTTTCTCAAAAAGTAGTAATTATTTTGAGTTTTCGTTTTATCCGAATAGAATAACAATACTTCTGGCAAAATATTTAAACGTTTTGTAATAAAATAGACAGTAGTAAAGGTAACATTGTCTAAATAGTAAAACTAATGGACTTTACTGTGATTTATATTAGGCTTCCCTAATGGACAAAGCCAGGTCGGAAATCAAGGTAATTTTTATACTCTATTTTTATGATATTTAAACTAAAATATAATTTCTTGTTTTCAAAATTGTGATTTATCTTGACTTTAAGCTTATTACAATGCAGTATTAAAATCCCAGTAATATGTGTACTATACTTTTAATAAAACTATCGAATCTAAATGTGATTTCGTGACTTTTGAAAAATTTATATACTTTACTATGATTTCTATTAGAATTTCCCGATGGACTGAACCAGTTTGGAAATGGAGGTAATTTATGATAAACTTCTTATTATGATATTTAAACTGAAATATTATTTCATGTTTTTTTTAAAAAAATAGTGATTTATTTGGACTTTTAGTCTTATTACAATACAACATTAAAATCCCAGTAATATATTTACAGTTTTTTAAAAACAAAACTATCAAATGTAAAAGTAACTTTGTGAGTTTTGAAAAATTTATATTCTTTACTATGGTTTCTATTAGGATTCCCTAATGGACTGAACCAGTTTGGAAATGGAGTTATTTTAACAAACTTCTTATTATGATATTCAAACTTGAATATTATTTAATAATTTTTAAAAAGTGATTTACCTAGACTTTTGAGTACAAATGATACAATATTAGAATCTCAATAATATATTTATTGTTTTTATAATAAAACGGTGAGAAGTAAAGGTGACTTTGTGCCTTTGGAAAAATTGCGCTACTGAATTAAACAACTTATGATAAATATGCTTGTATTCGCTGTTCTTCACTTTTATTTTAAATACTTCGGATTTTTTTTACTGACGAAAAATATTTTTAACTTTATCATAATAACGTTCTAAAAATCACAAACAGCTCGCCTGAATTAGAACATTAGCTACTGTTTAATCACCGAAAAATAGTGAAGTTTTGAAAATCAATAGGCCTAACATTTCCCACAAAAATCACGTAAACTGTAGATTTTTTCATATACCTCATAATGCCAAACCAATTGACAGGTTCTGGTATTAAACGATTTGTTTGTTTTGAATTTCGCGCAAAGCTACATGAGGGCTATTTGAGCTAGCCGTCCCTAATTTATCAGTGTAAGACTAAAGGGAAGGCAGCTAGTCATCACCACCCACCACCAACTCTTGGGCTACTCTTTTACCAACGAATAGTGGGATTGACCGTCACATTATAACGACCCCACTGCTGAAAGGGCGAGCCTGTTTGGTGTGACGGGGATTCGAACCCGCGACCCTCAGATTGGGAGTCGAGCGCCATAACCACCTGGCCATGCCGGGTCCCGTATTAAACGAAAAGTCTCTTGGCCAGTAACTTGTGGCAGACAAAAATTAGGTCTTAAAAGCTATTTTTACACACCTCTGATTTGGAAGACGAAATGGACAAATTATCATATGCGATTTTCTTGATTTTTTTTTTTATCAGAATAAGGCACTCACAGCCCTCTTGGAATGAGTAAAAATAGTTTTAAATAAAACAGCGCCTATTTGAACCTTGTAACTTCTATACAAGCAATAAAAGCTTCAAACGTATACCTATGCAGAATCCGTACACTCATCAAATAGCAAGCAAAGAAAACAGAACAAACAAACACAGAAAAATGAGAAAACGATTCAAGAAGAACACCCAAATAAAAACACAAGTCTAACAAATAGTAAAACAAATAACCAGCAATCAGTCTCTTCAAATAACCAAATCTTACAAGTAGCCAAAAACACCTTTATAGAATTTATCCAAGATTACAAAAATCCACAAAAGCAAACAGATTACATCATCTTACTATTTGAAATATCAAAAATAACAACAACAAAAAAAAAAACACTTTACACCAGGGGAGAAATTCTCATAAACAAAGTAGAGGTACTCAGCTGGTTGAAGTAGGCCTGTTTTTGAAGAAAAGAAAGAAAAATCTATGTTTCAACATAAAAAACGACAAAGCAGCTCAAATAAGTACCGATACTGGTACCGCCTTAAAAGATAAGTTCCACTACTAAGTACCGGTGAGTACCGCCGGCAGAATTTCACCCCTATTTTACACTTGTTATCCCACATTTAATTAGAACAGTTATAAATTCTCTACTAGTATAAAACTTAACACTCACCCATTACCAGGTCTTACGCATTGCCTAATTATTGTATTGAATGTGTATTAAATATGGTATTTTATGTGAAATGCGCACTTGTGAATAGTGTTTGAATTACCAGTGAACTGTTGGTGAAGTGCTACACACGACCAAATGAAGCAAAGTGGTAATGAAGCACTAAATGCTACTTTATTTCATTCATGTACATTGGCCCTGATAAGAGAACTAAAAATAGTGTTTAAAATCATGCTTTGTTAGCCCTGTTTTCGTGAATTTTTCATCAGTATTTGACAGTTTAAAATACAGTAATGGAGAGAGGAAGGGGTCTACTTGTACCTGGCCTTCCCAGGTTGCGACCTAAATACTGATCCGAACAGAAGAAAATAAAAGCTTAGTTTGGTTATGTGTTACTAAAAAATGTTTGTGAACAACTTCCCTTAAAACAGTCATGAATTTTTCTTAAGCTTTAGAAAAGATTAGCCTGATCAATGTATGCCTCATTTGAATTATGACATTGCAGTATGATATGGGGAAATGTTTTTATGTACAAGATCAAATTGAAAACCTTTAGGCTAAATTAGATAATTTTACACAATCTATGTTTAGACTATAGTACACTAGTGAGTCCACCAGTGGATCAACAGTAAGTTTACAGATTTACGAAGCTAAAATCCTAGGTTCCTTCCCGGTGGTGGACACAGCGCAGATAGCTTATTGTGTAGCTTTGCGCTGAAACAAAACATGTGGAGTTTGCTATGGTAAAAACGCGTTTGGGAATATAGGTAATTTTACATGTGTATTTTTTTATAATATTCAAACAAAAATTGTTTTTGTTTCTCAAAATATAGTGACTGTTTTTATTGAATAACAGCTTGTTGTTTTTTTACTCATGTTATGGATAATACCAAACACTGCAAAATTAGAAACATATTATTTAAATATATCAAAAGACATGTATGATAGGTCACAAGAAGGTGGGATCATGGTACACTTGGAGCATTGTATAATTGAAGGTTAGACGTTATAACTCGAGCAATGCATGTCTATCGCATGGTTTAATTGCAGGTTACCCTTTATAACTCGGGCAAAGCAAATATGTTGCATGAATTGATTGTAGATGAGCCACACAATCGTTTTATTTCTACAAGTGAATAATGTATCAGCTTCGGTAGACTCGCCCCCCCCCCAGTGGCACAGCGGTATGCCTGCAGACTTGTAACGCTAGAATCCGGGTTTCGATACCCGTGGTGGGCAGAGCCCAGATATCCCATTGTGTAGCTTTGTGCTTAATTACAAACAAACAAATCGTTAGGCTCACATTGAATGAAACAAACTATAAAAGGCTGTTTTTCTTTGTTGGTCGTTAACAGTTTGTATTGTTTTGTTCACAAAGTTGTGCATTTGTTCGAACAATTTAATGTTTTAATTTTTCAATGTTACTTGATCACAGGTTTTTATTTTGAATCTAAGAGAAAAAAAATTTACTAATTTCCTTTTTACCTTACGTTTTGTTGTTGTTTTTACAGCCTACAACAGCTTTTGTTTGATTCTGTAGTACGTTTTTTTATAAACTCTTTGATGTTTTATCTTACTTCAGGAACAAACGGAACAGTTGGACAAGCAGGGGGGCAACTGTTTCAACTTCTCCAGCAGCTACAACCAGACACCTTTAACCAGTTGCTTCAGTTACTATCTAACGGTCAGCAAGGCCGTTAATGGCAAGTTGGGTGCATTAGAAAAATTCCAGAAGAGCATTATTGCTGAATTTTTTCCTTTATCACAAAAATAGCATACAATCCGTTAGTCCGTTTCAACAATAATACAATTCATTAAAAGCAAGTCACTATGTAAACCTAAGTTGTTACAGAGAACGGGATATCTCTTTTATTACAAAAAAAATTATAGTTCCATAATATAAAGTATAACTGTCTCCAGTATATATGCTAGACATTATCACAAAAAGCATAATAGTTGAAATATAAAAAACTACTTAGTAAGATTCAGATATGAAAACGTTTTAATATACAGTATATTTGTGTTAATTTCACATAGCCAGAAGTATCACTTTGTTGTTATTGTTTCTTTCCTGTCAGTAGTTTTTGCAATAGATAATTACTTCATATTTAGTACATTTTTACTTTTGACAAAACCCTTCTGCATATATTGAAGTTAGAGACCTAAATAAAAAATATGTTTAAATTATAATTTTGTAGTGTTGTTTTTTTCGTTGGCGAGTTCATTTCAATTATCTGGTGAAAATAATTCAACGTTCAGTCCAAGCAACGAGAACAAATCACTATTTCTTCCTTTAATGTTTCTATAAGCTTGAACACTTGTATGCCGTCGTAAGTTCTTGTAAGCCTACGTTACAATTGACGTTAAAATCTCTCTACAATTATATAACCAACGTAACATCAACTTATCTATACAAAGTAACTCAATAAGCGCGATAGCAAACAGGGATTCAAATATTTCACAAAAACATACTGAATGATTTAACTCTCTATCTTTAAAAAATACTACACATTATCTCGTATTCATGATCTACAAATAAATACATGTTCTTTCAAACTGTAAGTTTTTAATTATTTGTAGACTTATCGTTTCTAAAATCTAGCCACATTAATGATTGGAATATATTTTAAACTGCATAACATTGTTTTGTCATATGTTAAGGGCTCCACTATCAAATTACAGTAAGACCCCGCTTAGTGCCATTTAAGCTGATTCGTTATAAAGCTCTTGTCCCCTTGAAAGATTTTTTTTTTCACGAGAGAGATAAAAAAATTATGAAAATTCATAACTCTCTGAACACTACTTTTTCATACTAATGGTAATAGTGCACTAAATAATTTTTATTTAATAAAATAATGCAACAAAGAACATAGAATAATAATAATATGCAAAAAACAAACAACGTCCGGTAACTATCACAATTTTCCTAGGGTTACTAGCAACGCAATATGAACAGTTAAAACGTCATCCATCTGCACAATATCGTTCCCTCGGGAAAAAAAACATTTTCTTAGGAAGCAATCTACAAATCTCTATACAGAATACAACATAATATAATACATCATTTGATAGACGAAAACCTTGCCTGTCTATTGGTTATAATTAATATAGTCGTAAACGTAACAGAGAACTACATGTATTGACAAATCCTGAAAGAGAGAATGTGACAGGAGGCGTCTGATTTTCTATTTGATGGCTCTGTAATCAAACAAGATTGAAGGCTAACAAAATTTGATTTTTTTCCATTGATGACGATTTATAGCGAGTAATTTACATTAAATTTACCTGGAACTAAATAAAGCACTTGTACGTCATTCACAGGTAAGAAACAATGCCTTTAGTTACATATCTCCATATATGTATGTTAAAATGACCCTGTTTAGAGCTGATTCGTTTAGAGCTCTGTTATCAGGAGCCCTTCCTGAGCGCTAAACGGGGTATTACTGTATTTTTACTCATTTGAAGAGTAATTATTATTTACATGTTATAACTCTCCGTTTCGAAAATAATAATGATAAAATATAGATTTTCAAATCCAATAATGCATGATGTTTTAAAATATCAAATGTAAATATATATATATTTTAAGCAGGGAAACCCTAAACGCCATCCATCCGTACCACAGACATTATATTCTTAAGAACTTTGAAACTTTCTAGTAACGACTGGACAGGTCAGTACTGTAAAAATAATACAATTCTATTTGTATCACTTAGAATTCAAATAAAAGACGTAAAGATGTTCCTCTTATAAATATATACATAGTAAACATAAAAAACAGCAAAACTAGAAGTCTTACTGTATAATATATTCAGTTGAGAATTTTCACGTTAGATAATGAAATCTCCCTCTACCTGTCAAAGAAAAATCTAGAACAGTCTATGGCAACATTTACTTTTCTGAGCTAAATATGATTAAATACCCTGAAGTTCTAACTAAAATGAATTAATTATATACGTGAACTTATTTGATTAAAGTCACCCGTGGGACAAGAGTAAGTTGACGAACTTACAACACTAAAATTCGGGATTCGATTCACCACGGTGGACCCAGAAGATAGCCAAATGTGGTTTTGCTTTAAGATAAACAAATAAAGAAACAACTATATGATTAAGATAAAATTGCTATTTCAAAACTTAACAGCATCTTATGGGCACGCGCACTAAGCAGCAGTTCAGAGACTCCATTTTCGAACCGAATAACAAGATTTATTGTCGGGTTTAAGTCTCTTCGTACTCTTCCAAGGGTGATTATACACTTCTAAATAAAATAAGATAAAACATGTAATTTATTCGCCATTTAAACAAAAAAAAATTAATTTATTGGCAATCTTTCGGCCATAGTAGTACAAGAACTGTTTTTCAGAATTTGTAATACATACTGGAGGGCTTTCGACCCTTACTCTCTAGATAATAATAATAAAAAAATGTTCATTTCAGTCAACATTTCGCCGTTAGACTCCATCTGCCCCACCCCCAGTGGTACAGCGGTATATCTGCGGACTTACAATGCTATAATCCGGGTTTTGATACCCGTGGTGGGCATAGCACGGATAGCTCATTGTGTAGCTTTGTGTTTAATTACAAACATCAAGGCTAATAGTACAAGAACTTATATTGATGATGAATGTTTAATTTCTTATTTTGAAATTAAATGAACGAAAACAAAAAAATTAAAACAACGAAACAAAACAAACACGACAACGAAGTATTTAAAACCACAATGTCACGATTAAAAAGACTGCGTATTCTTCTAATGAATGAACTTCAACTGGATTTGAATATTAGATAAATAAAGGTGTTCGTACAAAAGTTAAGGAATCTGAGAAGCAGAACATCCAAAATATGTTACATTGTTCTGAGAAGTAGAACATCCCAAATATGTTACATTGTTCTGAGAAGTAGAACATCCAAAATATATTACATTGTTCCCTATATCGCTCTCTGTGTGGGATATTACCTTGGTAATAAGTTTAATGAAATGTGTATGTTATAAAATAAGGTTGGCTACAGAAAATTATTGTAAACTGTTACCGCACAGCGCAAAAACATCTAAATAAAATATATGTCTTGAGATAAGGTTCAAAGCAGTGGCGTAGCGAGGGTTCTCAGCACCCGGGGGCAAAGACACTTTTGGCGCCCCCACCTCTGAAATGTTTTGATTATTTGGTTTGTGACTCATTACCCATTTAATGACAATAACATAAAGAATTAATTACCGCCTTACACAGGCCTAAAATAAAATCACAGTATAACATCTCACGACATCACAGCTGTAAACCTGGATCTAATGAAGTATAGCCTACTAGGTGTACTTACATAATTTGTAAACCATTTTGATATTTATGTCATCCAGTATTGTTCAAATTCACATAGCTAGAGTGATCATTCAAGCATGCAGAATAAATTTCTGTTATATCCCTAGTTTTGAAGCATGTTTTACATGAGAAACCAGTCACTTGTGGTGTACATGGATTATAAAACAGATTGATAAAATACTACTTAAGTTTACAAATAACAAATTTTATTAGTTTACAGAGCTGTACATATACTTAACTAGATCTTGTACAGGTAACATTCTGGTATTCATGGTTACATTATATGAACCTTTCGTGCTTTTGCTACTGCAAATGCATCAATTAAACTATTAAAATTTAAGGTATTAAGTACGTCTTTTTTCAATACTTACTATTGCCAAGTTAGTAAGTCGTTCTTGAGTCATTGAGCTTGCTGAAGGACCTTTCACAACTAACAATATAAACCCCAATTGTTAACAAAATCTGCAATGCAATTCTTAAATTTGGGAAAACATCTTCACCACATGAATTTATAAATGTTAGCAAATCAGTTGCAACCATTGGTTCAGGAAAATCGGTCTGTGTTCTTTTACTTATCAACATTCTATAGTCTTTAATTTCTCTGTACAATTCTGGTCCATTAATATCACCTGGATAGTTCTTTGCTAAGTCAGAACATTTTTCTTGCAATTTTCCATCTTTGAAATCTCCAGAAACAATATTTTGCACATCTAGTAGAAATCCAAACCGTGAATCTAAATCTAGTAAGCGTTTACGACGTATTTTTTCTTCTTTCAATGGT